TTATAGAGTTTATAATGAGTAAAAGATTATATAAGGGTAATAATTCATCTGTAAACCTAGAAATGTACAGCCAATTTTGAAAGAGATGTACCCTAGCTCAGAAAAATGTTATTGAATAGGTTAATGCTGTTGTAATGAAATGCTTCTTTTAATTAAAATAAATAAATAAATAAATAAAAATTTTTAAAAAAGTTCTTTTCCAAAGAAGTACAGAACAAATTATTTAAATAATGACTGTGACAAATATTCTAATTTTTAGTACTTTATTCTAAAAATGGATTTAAATATTCATTATAGAAACACTTACTCCTGGGCTGGAAAGATGGCTTAGCTGGTAAGAGCAACTGGCTGCTCTTGCAAAAGACCTGGGTTGGGTCCCCAGCACCTACGTGGTGGCTAACAGCTATCCATAACTTTAGTTCCCAGGGATCTGAAGCCTTCTTCTAGCCTCCACGTGAATTGCACAACAATGGTGCACTTAGATACATGCAGACAAAACATCCCTACACAGAAAAATTAAAATATGAAAAAACTGCACACAAGCCACAAATTGTAGCCACTGGCTACATTATTCCTGAACAACCACCACCACAACAAAGTCTCTCAAGTATTTTATTCTTTCTTCTCTATTTCTTTTGAGTAACTTTGACCTTTCTTTGAAATAACTGATGAGAGCAACACAAGAGCAAAGAAATAAAATCTCAGACTACAAAGTTTCATTGTTTTGAAGTTTTCTTAAAATGAGACTTAGTAGATGTTCATTAATTTACTCAGTTGACTAAGTCTGCATTAGTGTTCATGGTTCTCTCTGAGGATTTGTAGAAGCATTGGAGTATACAAAAAGTGGTACTATTTTAACATCAGGACTTCTGAAGCCCATAGAAAGCAGTGCTGTTTCAGCATTGGGACTTCTGAGGTTTTGGCCTATAAGTAATGGCTTTTGAAGTACACTGGGAAAAGTGGTATGAATTCATTTGACATTGTTCTTACATTGAGAAAGATTCTTTAATAGATATTTTTGCATATTGAAGTGAGTACTGTGAGGTATAATTTTCATGCAACTATTGGAGATTATTAAAAATACTTTGTTGGTAGGAATTTTTAGGTTTTTGATTATATCCAATAACTGTCTACACTGTAGTACAAGGCAACGTTCCTAATGTGCAATAAGGGAATCTGCGGTGGTAGATACTGTGTGTAAGCCATTTCTTGAGCTGCTGGTTATGCATCTTGTATGTATGCCATTTGCTGAGCAGTGGAGGCAATAACAAATTCAGCCTTTAAAATTTTTTTCTCATCCTTTGTCAGGCTGTGTTCTGGATTCACAGAAAGGGACCACAGTGGGGAGATCCTTTTCTCTTAGCTGGCGTAGCCACCCAGATGTGAACGAGCCAATGAGATTCAGGAGTGCTACTACATCTGGAGCACCAGGAGTAGAGAAGGCAAGAAATATTGTTCGCCAAAAAGCAACTGGTAAACATCTATTTAAATATTTCTCAAAAATCTAATTGTTATTTAAAATTGAGGTACAGGAACAAATGTTTTAAAAGTGTACTCAGACTTTAAATTTTAGATTTTTTTATTAAATAAAATGTCTCTGTCTTTTTAAACTTTCTGGTATGGCTAATTTTCAAATTACAGGTCTTGATATTTATTTCTAAGTTCTCCATTGTGAAAAGGAACATGAGCATTAACATCGAGTAAGATATTTGCAAGATAGAGAAAATAAATATTTTGTTTGAACCTTGAAGAAAGACTCAATAAATATCCCATCACTTGCAGTGATGTCATTGCTAGGCTGCACTCCTGTTAGAATGTGACAACTGTTTCTGACAGAGAAAAAGGATGACAGACTTGGGTTTTAGGAATGATGGAAACATTTTCATTTTTTGCTTCTTTAAAAATTGAGCTTTCAGTGGTTGAGAGTGCTGACTGCTCTTGCAGGGGACCCGGGTTCGATTCCCAGAACCCACATGACGGCTGCAGGCTGTGCTTAGCTCCAGTTCCAGGGGAATCTGAGGCCCTCTTCTGACCAAGGTGGTGTTGCATGACATGGGTGCACATGCACTCATGCACATAAAATAAAAATAATAAAATAAGCTGAGCGTGGTGGTGCACACCTGTAGTCCCAGCACTTGGGAGGCAGAGGCAGGCGGGTCTCTGTGAATTCAAGGCCAGCCTGGTCTACATTACATAGTGAGTTCCAGGACAGCTGGGGCCACAGGGAGACCCTGCTTCAAAAAGACCAAAAAAAAAAAAAAAATAGAAAGAAAAGCTTTATGTGCCTGTAGATGTTGTCTTTATAGCCTATTTGAATAGCACTGTTACTTGTCCAAGAACTCCCACTTGCCCAGACTGCTTTGCTACACTTTACTCTTAAGCCAAAACAAAGCTTATTTGAGTTGTGAAGAACAATGAAGTTCTTTCCTCTCCAGTGACTTTAAAACACATGTATCTCAATTTCCTGTAGCTTTCTTACCAGTAGTACTATGTAATAGTTGATATTCAACAACTTCAGAAAATAATAAGACCCTCTAGCCATCAAACAAAGCTTTGTTTAACATATTTTGCTGTTTCTGATTAACAGCCTGATGTAGATGACTTAGAATGCTGTTGGCATTCTTTTGGAAGTATATTAACTGTAACTTCCTAACTCTTTTTGCCTTAGCATTTGCTAGTTATTATCTCCTTAATTATCTGCACCAATATTCTGCTCTTTTCTTCATTCTGTCCTCAAAGAGAAACCCATTTCCTAAAAACATTCAGCATTTGGGGATGCCCGCCCATTTCTTTCCTCAGTTCAACTCCTACGAAGTCTTTACTGCTGTCACTAGGTCCTTCAAAGAAAGAGATCTGTGACAACAGCAGCATCCTTCCTGAGCTGCCCAGGCTTATGCTGTCTTCACCACCCTTGAATTCCAAGTATAAATACTGATCTGAAACTTTAGATTTTATTCCCACATGTTGATAAGCAGCAAATCACTGTACGTGCATGCTCCATACAACACTACTTTGGAGTGATGGTATCCTAACTATCAGCAGGCATTTTAAGTTATCAGTATAGTAGAAGCACTAGTGTGCTTTAGAAACACTCAGGAAAGGCAGGTTATGTATATAAATGTTCTCAAGTATTTGAGGGGCCATGACAATGGACAAACGTTTTACAGAAGTTTTTTAATTATGTTTGTAGAGTATGTACTTTAAAACCATAAGGTTGGCTTTGTAGGATTATCTAAATTTTAATTCTGGAACCATTATTTTTGAAAGAGATGTTCAGCTGGACAAGTCTGTTGTCTTTATTCGTTATGTGTACACATGAATATATGCATCTATATGCATGTCCTATTGCCTCTTATATTTTTAAATTGAAAAATGTTATGTATGAATCAGTTGTTGCCAATGAAAACAAATGACCTTTGAAGATTTTTTAAAATCTTGCTGTTTAATAAACTTAATGTACACAAGCTAGATATTTGTGATTTTTTACTCAGTTTTATTTTTATGCAGAAGAGTAACTCACTTTTTCTTCTTTTTAAAAAACCCAAATAACCAGGTAGTCCATACCTTTAATTCCAGCACTCAGGAGGCAGAGGCAGGTGGATCTCTTTGAGTTCCAGGCCAACCTGATCAATGTAGTGAGTCCTAGGCCAGCCAGGGCTACTCAGTGAGAACCTATCTTTAAAAAAAAAAAAAAAAAAAAAAAAAAAAAAAAAAGCCTAAGATATTTTAATTGTATTTTGTCTTATGTAAAGGCACATTTTATGAGAACAGAAGTTCAGGAAGATAATTTTTACTGTTTTTAAAAGTAGGTAATAGTACATAGCAGTACTCATCTTAGCAGTAATAATTACGGAAAAGAAACTTTGCTTTTCTAATCTTAGGAAGAAAATAGTAAACAGTTTAAGATTATCACAATAAGGACTTATCCCACAGATTTCAATTTGGTAAAAAATCTGGTACTGAGTGACACCAGGGAATCATGATTAACAAAGAGTACATTTGGTTATAACCTTAGAGGCTGGGCACAGAGAACTAACTTTGACCCTAAGTATCAATGGTGGTAAGAATTCAGGTTTCTAAAATGTGAGAGTGATCAAAGTGAGTCTTCATTTCTATATAAAACATCCAGTATTTTATTTTTTCCAAAATATCTGGTTATAATCTTGGAAAAATGCACAATCATTTTGATTTTTGAAAAGGAAAACTCTTTAAATAGTACTCAAATAAAATGTCTTCATCATACTCAGAGAGAAACAAATCTTTTATATTTTGACATTTACACAGAAGTTGTCTTTTACATATTATCTGACCCATACATGAATTATACAATAATCATATTGCTGGAAATTCTAATAAACAAGGGATAGTTGAAGGGGCAATAAAGTAAAGCATTTGTTTTGCCCTTTGCAAATATGCCACCATTGCTTGTAGTTTTGTTTCATTCATGCTTAATGGAGATAGGTTTTACAAAAAGGCAAATAATCCTTTATATTTTAATTTTAAAG